AGCGGTTAAACAGTCTCGTTGGTATATTCTTGTATAACTCATCTTGTTATACAATAAAGAAAGGAGCGAAAAAATTACGCATCCATGAAATGCGTATGTACAATAAAATCGCTTAATCGCAGACTCGGGCAGTCTATGATCGACGGTTTCACGGAAATAGAGGAGCTTTTCATTGATAAATTCTTCTAATGAGTTACTTAAAATATATCATGGTAATTAAATACATAATTAGCAAGATTGTTTAATTAAATATTATTTAGTGTATTAAACATTCTAATATGCGTTCTTGAGATGTCGATCTTTATATAAGGATACCGAATTACGAGCGGAATCGAAAATTAATGCTCAACCCGTTTTAATCCGCTTTAACTCATTTTGCTTCTTTCCATGGTGGAACCGGTCCAGAAATGGGACAACCAATATTGAACTCTGTACAACGTACAACCTGTTTGTTCACATACGCGGAGCAAATGCGAATGTTTCGCATAAGGTAACCACCTCTTGTACATCAAGTTTATTATACTCGTTTTTAAAATCTCAAATATTTTACTATTACAATGGCTTTTAATGATTGAGTAAGAATGTTTTATAATCTCGCGCTATATTTTACGATCGTGTTGTGCAATCTTTGCACACAATGTAATCAATTTATATTATATTTAACATTTCATATTGATTTTACTGGCTGAATTATAATTATACAAATACTTATTATTATTGTTATTGATTTTCCGCTGTTCATATAAATTCGATAAACGGTATTTTTTCTTCTTGTAATTTTTATATAATTGCAAGTACGATTAATGATAGTACCAAGGATACTATGATCATAGGGAGCGAATTTAATCGATCAATGATCGATATTTATATAATGATAACTCACGAGATTAATTTAGTCAACTAAGTACACTTGAATTTTAAAAAAATTGCGTGCCGTGCACAAAAATTCATGAAATAAATATATTATTTTTTATATACGCGCGCAAAAAAAAGAGATAAAATATTACTTAAATTTTTGTTTAAATATACTCGAAGTTTATATCGATACATACATATTTCATGCAACGAGATACATACTTCGTTTTTCATTGGCCGCGGGTAGCCGAAATCCTGCGATTGCACGTGTCAAGATCAGTATAACAAACAATAATCCAGTCATGTTCGTTCGATCGATGCATTTTGATACAAGGAACGCGATTCATAATCACCTATCCGCGTTCTTCTTCACTTACTTCCGCATTTCTGTGATTCGCGATTAGTAGCTATACGGAGAGAAGCGATAACGCGGGGGGAAAGGTAGTTCTCTTCGGCATCGAAACACTTCCTGGATAACTGACTAAAGCAAGACTACCTCGCGCTTTCCGAGCCGCTCACTAGACAAACGTAGCAGTCGCGCGTATGTACCACCTCGTATCACAGGAAATATACACATTTGTAACCAGATGCGCGCGCGATGCTTGAGAAATATTACGAAAGAAACATCCAAATTAAGTTATGGCGAACGAAAGGGAAAGCGGAACAATAGAAAGAAAGAGAGAGTAGCGTGTATTATTATATTAATTATTCATATACAACACTTTTAGATATTCGTACAATATATATAATTTTATTAAAGATAAATAAAACTAATTTCTTACACACAAAATGCTGCTGACTACTGCAATGTCATTTGCTAGGTATGATTCTTAAATAAACATAACTGAAATTTGTACCATCAATCCTCAAGTTAAACAGAAATATTTGAGAATTAATTTAATTTTAATGCAATAAAGTTGTTTTATTAAATTAAAAGCAACAAAAATAAAAAAAAATACACTTTAATAGTTATTTGTTAGAAAGTACTCAGATCTTGCAATCACAAATCTTTTGCTTATATAATAGACTATATATTTGTGCATTTATGTACAGAATGTAAACAAAAATTGGAGCATTATTCTAATTCCTGATATCAAACCGAGACAAAAAATTCTTTACCATTTTCTTCTTCAACGAATAATTATCGCGATATTATAACCTAAAAAGATCTTTAATTATTTGACAAGAAGAAAGCAATTAAGTAACTTTTCGGCTTGGTTTGATCCCGGAGAGACACTATTAGAATAGTGTTCCAGTTTCTGTTTATACCCTGTTTTGTTTGTTCCTTATATAACAGACAAATAATATATAATTCTTTGTTCCTTATATAACAGACAAATAAAATATATGATCAGCTTTTGTATAAATTTGAAATAATATTAACGAGAAAAGAAACCTCTGAATAAGATATCAGGAACTCCCGGTTATATACATATAAACAAGTTACAAGTTTCTCAGGACCAATTACTTGTCCATAATCAAAGCACAGATTTATTTATCTTTGAAGAACTATATCATAAATCTTCATCTAGTGACTCATCGAGCGAGATAAGAATAAGAGCATTAGTTTTTTAACGAAGCTTTAGTGTTGCTAAATGTTGGCTTTCTGCATCTGGTAAGGCTTTAGATCTACTCGTTTTTTGGGCGAAAATTGGGCGGATGATGACTTGCTTTGTTTATAAATTAAAAATCTTACAACCAGGAGTCATTTATATACATGACTATATAATCTTTATAAAATTCTTATATATACTTTTTCTTCTTGCAAAATATACAATCTAAGAATTTTGGAAATATCTTGATTAAGTCATCGAGATATCTAATAAAAAGAAATATTATATGTATAATATTTCATGTGTTATTTTGAACAAATATTATAAAATTATAATAAAGATAAAATAACCATGTAATAATTAATATTTATCACGCAATGGCTATATAAGCCGATTGTACGTTTGTGACGAGTTTATATTGCTTGCTTGATCTCTCTTCTGCAATTAGGACAAGAAGCCTGCAACATAAAGAGCACAACTATAAATCTCTGTGTATAATCTAAAGGATTATACTGATGATAGTGCATTTTGAATTTTACCCCAGGATCAAAGCTTCTCCATTTATTTATGCAATCTTTGTGAAAATTATGTTTACAGGGATACAATTGTATTACATCCGATTCAATTAATGCGTATTGGCAGATTGAACAATAGGTTATATCGTCTTTACTCGTTGTAGGTTCCCTCCCGTTTTTATTTTTTAAAGAATTTGATGAACTCCTTCTATTGAATGTCGTGCTAGAAATAAATACATCTTACAGAAGAATGTAATGTATTGTAACATGCATTTTCTAATGTCGTAATCTTTCACCATTACTCTTAATAGATAAAAAAATGATAATTTTTTTGTCACATTTATGAATTTAATTATCAAAAAAATACAAGCAAAATATAATTATATGTATACATGAAATAGAAAATAAATATTAAGAAAAAGTTAGATAATAATAGCGAGCGCATAAGTAACGATATATGCATGTATATATTAAGATGGATACTTTTCAGCCTTATGCGACGATATTGACCAAGAGCGATCTTCGTAGCGATCCTCCGGCGGTCCCCCATTTCTAGAATATGTATGCTGTTCCTCCTGGCGATTTTCGTTGAACACATAATACAGAAACGTTGCTAACCCAATTCCAACTCCAACAAGAAGTACTAACCCGGGATACGTCATTTTTACATTACGGAATTTAAGCAATACGCTTATAACGAGTATATCTATCGCTCGTTCTTATAATTATTCTGCAATTTTGCAACATCGTATCATTTACAAATATGATATACGTTCAACAGAAAAAGGCTAACTACAGAAATTCCAGTTTTGCATCAATCAACAATAATCACTTTCTATCTCACTTTTGTATAATAACAGAACAAGCCATCGCGTGAATGCACGATTGCATATCAAACCTAACTTATCCTAACCTAACCTAACCTAACCTAACCGAGAAAGTGACCTAACGTCACAATAAACTTGCCAACTTAATATATATTGTATTTTTTCATAAAATGAGTAGAAAAACCCTAACTTGAACTCTAAGCAGAGAGGAGCCACGCCGCCCTTTTTCTAGCTGGTCTATTGCCCGACCATAATTTGTTCCATTTCCCTAGCGAGATAAACGTAGGAATGAAGATACCTATTCTACGTTCACCGTATGACCAGAGAGAAGCCTGAGAGAGGTCAGGCCGCCGTTTTTCATAAGATGCCTTTTCTATCTGGTACAGTAGCGTCAACTAGATCCATTTTAGAGTCGGCGAAACTACATGGCCAGATTCACTTTTCGATGCCACGGTAAAACAATCGGTTAATGCATGTGTATATTAGATCCATAATTGTGGATCAAAATTGCGGAGAAATATTATGGATTTATTAATGTTTTATTAATTGCCTATAAAATAATTAACTGTACAAGTCTTTTGAAAATAAACATAACAATAAATACACTTTGCTTAACACTATTTTCGCTTGAAGAACAACAAGATTCTTTGCCTTCATTTGTTCACCAATCGCTTCGGAGCAAAAATAGTGTCGGAGAGCATTTATTGAATATATACAAATTTTTATATTTTTTTATATTTCCGAACATAATTTTACTTGATTAAGATTTTTGCAAATGAAATGACATAAAAAACGTGACATTATTCGGATAAATTTCAATTAGATATAAATTTAAAAATTAGATAAAATATTTTTTTCTTTATTTAAGTATAAATTATC